AAGCCCCCAGCAAAAAGCACCCCCCACAGATAAATAACCCCAGCAGAAATCCCCCAGCAAAAAGCACCCCCTATAAGAGAGCAATGAGCTATTGCTCCCCCAGCAATGAGTTCCTCCCCACAAGCGAATGTCCACAACAGAAGTCATAGTTCAACCTACAGACCTCAGATACAGCACTGTGCTTGGTTGTGTCATATGACATGTCAGAGCAGAGAAGCCTGGGAGAGCCTTCCTTGGCTCTGAGTAGCAGCCTCGGTATCTGAGGCCTGTGCTGCTAGCTGGAAGAAAATAAAGAAAACAAAATGGTGTCACAGTGCCAGGACCCATGGCACCCAGCAGGAGATGTGGGGCAGGTGTCCCAGGCAGGCCCGTCTTTAACACAGGGCAAAAGGGGCAGTTGCCCTGGGCCCAGTTATTGTTGTGGGGCCCAAAGCAGCGGCCCATTGAGCCTGCACTGCTCACTCCCTACCTTGAGATGCGGGATGTTAGTGTCCCGTCCCTTCTCCCCCCTCATCCTCCTGATTTTCCTTATCTCTCCAGAGATAAGACAGACAGCAGAGATCGGCAGATCAGGGCCTTTGTCTGCTCTGCCTAGCAACTGATGACGCTGATGGGCGGGCTGTCATAATTACGTACCTCGGCCCGCATATCACATCATCAGTTGCTAGGCAGAGCGGACAAAAATCCTGATCTCCCGATCTGCTGCTTGTCTGCAAGTAACTGCAGACAAGAAGATCGGGACCTATTTTTTTATCAAAGCACAGGGATCAGAGCCTATCATGCATGCCTAGACCAGCCGGCCCGCCCATCTGCATCATCAGTTGCAAGGCAGACAGGGGGCTGATAAAAAAAATATATAAAATAAATAAATTGATTTGGGATGTTGGGGTGGAGACTGTAGCTGCATGGCAGGTAGAGGGCGTGGCTTGGTGGGTAGGGGCGGGGGCCCAAGAAAATGTTTGCCCAGGGTCCAATCAATATTAAAGACGGCCCTGGTCCCAGGAGTCCAGCGCTAGTTACGCCCCTGCATTGTATATAGAGATCAGTGTGTGCTATAGTCCCCACTGTGTATATAGAGATCCAGGGGTGGACCTACCGGCGATGCAACCGGCTTCTGTGAGGATGGGAGCCTTCTGAGCAGGGTAGCTGCTTTGGGGGGTGGATTTGGATTGGGAGTCTAATTGAGAATCTGGAGGTCACCTATGCCTTTTTCACAGATAGGAACATAAGTGATGCTTCCAATGCTTCAATGTACTTGCAATGTACTGCACATGGTAGATCATTCTACAATTTACCATGTTCCATTGTATCCAATACTCAGGGCCAGTATTGACACTAGGCAAACTAGGCAGCCACCTAGGGCGCACTGCTGGCTAGGGCACAGTCTCGAACACTCCCCCCCTTTATGGCGCCCCCCATCTATTTATAATTGCAAAAGCCAATAGCAGGCTGGCAATTGCACCCGCCCACTGAGCAGAGGAGTGGAACTGAGAGACAACTTTCTCCCTCAGGTCCTCTCCTCTGCTTAGCGGGTGGGGTTTCAATAGCCAGTCTGCTATTGGCTATTTCAAACTAAAATAGCCAATAGCAGCCTGGCTATTGCTCCCGGCTGCTTACTTCCACCTGTTGCCTGCAGAAGCTAGCCGGCAGGAGAATGGGGGGGAGGGATTGGGGTTGTGACATGGGAGGGTGTTGGGGGGTGCAAGTAGCTGGTCTTGCCTAGGTTGCAAAATAGTCTAGCACCAGCCCTGCCAGTACTCCAATATCTTACCCGGTATGACCAACAGGGATTCTGTAATAATTTTGGTCACTGACTACCACTCATGTTTGTTCCTTATTTTTACCCTTAATAAATAGCGGTTTAGCAGGTATATGCAATCTAAAAAAATGCCCTTTTTATTATTTAATGTACACCTGTAGGGAAACTAAAGTTTGTAAACAAGTAACATAATTGAATAGTAGGTACATACCTTAAGAGGTGCGCTTCAGGTTCACATAGAGCTCAAAATCTTGAAGTGCTCTATTATTTAAATTCTGACTTTAGCAAAGAAAGTTGGGCTCTGGCCTCCCCCTCTCACTTTACTGTTGGCCAGAGAGGCTATCAATCACAATGGAAGAACAATGGTGAGTCGAGGGAGACAGTAGGGGGTAAGCCGAAGCTCAACTTTGGCTGCCTAAGTCAAGATTTATATGATAATATGTTCAGAATTTACAGGGTGCTAAAGCACATATCAAAAGGTACATGCAGGCAGCTAATGGAACAAGCTATTTAGTCAAGTTACTAATCATTTCATACATTTTAAAGTGTCAACATGTTTTATATCTGATAAAAGCAATTTAATTCACTGTATTATAAATAACTGGCCTTCACTTTCTAACAAAAGTTTTTGTTAACCTCTTTAGGAAAGAAGAAATCAGCAGACAAAGAAAATACACAGGCCTCGGTAATACCATTTTGAAAGCATTCTGTTCATTTTACCTTTGTTATAGTTACATTACCCAACTATAAAACATGGAGAGTATGCGGCCTTCTTTTTTTGTACCAGTGGTTTTATTTTTTAAACTTTATGTTTTAGGTCATAAGTAACCTAGAGCATTTGTTTCCAAATAGAAGATGCCATATGTACTTTATCTAGACTAAGGCAGCATTTCCACACTGGAGTTCTCATTATCCATATGTGGTATCCTTGTTTCTACATATGAGCTCAGGTGTTTGCATTTGTTAACACTAAAATAATTATAATCCAATGTACAAATGATATTCTAAGTATATGTGGACAGTGTATTTCACAATAATGCAGGGTATAGTGCCGATATACAGTATAACATCAAAAGAGAACTATGGGGTAAGTGTTTTTCCCCATAGTTCTCTTCAGGGTCACAGGAAGATATATAATAGCATCCTCCCGTGACCCAAAGCTCAGTACATCGCGAGCTACAGCTCACGGTAAACTGAGACCGCCTCAGCCGGGATCCTTACAATGCTGTGGAGATCCACCCAGCTGCGTGATTTTCACTCACCTCATAGTTCTCCTTTATTACTCTGTAGGTTTTGTAATGAAAAAAAATTAATGAGATCCCTTTGTCGCTTGCTTATATTAGCTGTCATGTGATCGCTAACATCTGTTTTTCTTCTTTCTTCTTCCGCTCATCTGTTTTAGGCAAAGTACGAGATCCCCCTGCTCTTCCTCTACCTGTGTGGAAATCTGGCATTCCTGATCACACTCCTTGTGGGAATTAGCCAATCATAGTGCAGAAGATAAATAGATATAAACAGATAAGAAGATGTTGGACTTTATATTGATATATAGTTTTTGCCATATGGAGAATAGAGAATGAATGCATTTTCTGTACAGAAGGAGGCGTTTTTAATCATGATTAAATCATAATTGCATTTAGTTCTTTGAACTGAAGTAGCAAGAACCTTATTTTATAAAGCAGCCATTCAATAGCAGGTTTTATTTATTTTTAACACTTTTTTACTTTTTATTTTAACATTGACTGGATGCTCTAACATATTTCTGTACAATAAAATGTATTGTCTATGACTACAAATATCAATGTAAACACGTGTCACTAAAAGAAAATGAGTTATTTAGACTGGATGCAAACATATGTGTAACAAACATAGCATCCCGAGGCTGGGTGACACCCGGAGCGGTAACCGAGTGTCACCCCGCCGAGACGTCACTGCGCATGCGCGTGACGTCACCACACGTGTGTGCGTTGACGTCATCGCGCACGCGCGGCAGTATTCTGATACCTGCCGGCGGCCATCTTGGTGATGAACGCCGGCAGAGAGAGGAGGTGACAGGGATAAGGTATGCCGCCGGGTCACCTCCTCTCTCCTGATACTGTCGGGCGCTCGGTCCATGACCGATCGCCCGACATTTCAGAGGGGGGTGACACCAAAATCACTGTGAGTCATTTTGGTGTCACCCCTCCAATCGTGTCACCCGGGTGCTGGCCGCACCCCCCGCACCCCCCTTGTGACGCCACTGCCTCTTGCCTTGCAACACTGTGGTCCTGAGTTTAAATTCCAAACTGAGCTGGACACTCTCTGCATGGAGTTTGCATGTTCCCCCTGTGCTTGCATGGGTTTTATCTGGGTATTCCAGTTTCTTCCCACACTCCAAAGACATTCTGGTAGGGTAATTGACTCCTGTCTAAATTGGCCCTAGTATGTGTATGCATGTGAGGTTAGATTGTAAGCTCTTTGAGGTCAGGGACTGATGTGAATGTGCAATATAGGTAAATTGTTGGTGCTTTATAAACAAATAAACCACAGAAAGCAAATACATCTCACCTTGAAATAAAAAAGTTGCTGATGTTTTATATATCTGAGTCGTCCAGTAAGAATTGTGTTTCTGTTCCTGATTCATCCAGCTGCGATTAATCTGTGATAAATAACACCATCACTCATCCAAGTGGATCGGATGAATAGAGATCTGTTGTGCCCATTATTTATCTTGGAATGTTTTGGCTTTCATAATGTGAAAAACAATGAATGTGGAAAACTGTTACAGCAACCAAATGTTTCTCTTAATATATACGATTTAGTAGAAGGAGGTTTTCACTAATTATTTAGATGAATTAGGCTGGATGGATTACATGGACATACAGTTTTGAAAGTGAAGCTTTTAGATGCAATGTCTAAGCATTGTTTTAATAAAATGTGGTTTTCCACCTATTTTATACTATATCATACTAAAATATATTTTTTTGTATGTGAATAACCAGCCAAATTATTTAGAGGGCCAATTTACACCATTCTGCTGTGGTGACACACATCATGTTAGTGCTGCAGTGCCATTTATTGAGAACGGCAACAACGCACATTAAAAACACGTGTGCAGTGCAATGCACCATAGCACAACAAATTCAGCCCCATTTATATATGTGTGGTTTTAGCCCATTCATTTTAAATGGATTGTTTAAGGTTACACTTGACAATGCATAACAGCGCATGCATTGCAGCACACAACTTTGTAAGAAATAAGGCTAAGAAAAAAAAAAATCTTAATATAATCCAAACAATTCTCAAACAATTCTCAATGTGCGAAAATATTTGAATCTCTGATTTGTTAATATATTTATTTTAGAGTAACAATTAAAAGAAGAAAATGTGATTTAGGTTGCAGGTGGCAGCACGGCTGTGAATTCTATGTTTTGCTATATATGGTCCCAGTTAAAAATCATTGCCCTAGTAGCCCTAGTTTACAGATATCTACAGATACATGATTTTCTTTTTTAGAAAAAACTGTAGCGCCAATTTCAGCTGATATGGCATTTTGTAGTAGTAAGAGAGACATCTGTTAGCATAACGCATATGGCATAAAGAATCATCTCCATCAAAATATTATCAGGGGAACTGGCATCCCAGAGGAAGTAAAAAGGCAAAACTCTAAAGAATTGTGGAGCTCTGGAATAAAACTACATGTAATGATGGCAGTTTGTACATGGCATGTGCAGTAGGCAAGGCTCACAGCGAGGCCTTCATCTAGCGAAGCAAAAATGGAAAATCAGGTGTAATATACTAAGTCTACTAAGTATACTAAACTCCAATCGTGTCACCCGGGTGCTGGCCGCACCCCCCGCACCCCCCTTGTGACGCCACTGCCTCTTGCCTTGCAACACTGTGGTCCTGAGTTTAAATTCCAAACTGAGCTGGACACTCTCTGCATGGAGTTTGCATGTTCCCCCTGTGCTTGCATGGGTTTTATCTGGGTATTCCAGTTTCTTCCCACACTCCAAAGACATTCTGGTAGGGTAATTGACTCCTGTCTAAATTGGCCCTAGTATGTGTATGCATGTGAGGTTAGATTGTAAGCTCTTTGAGGTCAGGGACTGATGTGAATGTGCAATATAGGTAAATTGTTGGTGCTTTATAAACAAATAAACCACAGAAAGCAAATACATCTCACCTTGAAATAAAAAAGTTGCTGATGTTTTATATATCTGAGTCGTCCAGTAAGAATTGTGTTTCTGTTCCTGATTCATCCAGCTGCGATTAATCTGTGATAAATAACACCATCACTCATCCAAGTGGATCGGATGAATAGAGATCTGTTGTGCCCATTATTTATCTTGGAATGTTTTGGCTTTCATAATGTGAAAAACAATGAATGTGGAAAACTGTTACAGCAACCAAATGTTTCTCTTAATATATACGATTTAGTAGAAGGAGGTTTTCACTAATTATTTAGATGAATTAGGCTGGATGGATTACATGGACATACAGTTTTGAAAGTGAAGCTTTTAGATGCAATGTCTAAGCATTGTTTTAATAAAATGTGGTTTTCCACCTATTTTATACTATATCATACTAAAATATATTTTTTTGTATGTGAATAACCAGCCAAATTATTTAGAGGGCCAATTTACACCATTCTGCTGTGGTGACACACATCATGTTAGTGCTGCAGTGCCATTTATTGAGAACGGCAACAACGCACATTAAAAACACGTGTGCAGTGCAATGCACCATAGCACAACAAATTCAGCCCCATTTATATATGTGTGGTTTTAGCCCATTCATTTTAAATGGATTGTTTAAGGTTACACTTGACAATGCATAACAGCGCATGCATTGCAGCACACAACTTTGTAAGAAATAAGGCTAAGAAAAAAAAAAATCTTAATATAATCCAAACAATTCTCAAACAATTCTCAATGTGCGAAAATATTTGAATCTCTGATTTGTTAATATATTTATTTTAGAGTAACAATTAAAAGAAGAAAATGTGATTTAGGTTGCAGGTGGCAGCACGGCTGTGAATTCTATGTTTTGCTATATATGGTCCCAGTTAAAAATCATTGCCCTAGTAGCCCTAGTTTACAGATATCTACAGATACATGATTTTCTTTTTTAGAAAAAACTGTAGCGCCAATTTCAGCTGATATGGCATTTTGTAGTAGTAAGAGAGACATCTGTTAGCATAACGCATATGGCATAAAGAATCATCTCCATCAAAATATTATCAGGGGAACTGGCATCCCAGAGGAAGTAAAAAGGCAAAACTCTAAAGAATTGTGGAGCTCTGGAATAAAACTACATGTAATGATGGCAGTTTGTACATGGCATGTGCAGTAGGCAAGGCTCACAGCGAGGCCTTCATCTAGCGAAGCAAAAATGGAAAATCAGGTGTAATATACTAAGTCTACTAAGTATACTAACTAGTCTATATTAAGTGGATGGTCATAATGTTACGGCTGATCAGAGTATTTGTAATGCCTTTGTCTCCTAGATGTTAGCTTTCTTCCTTTGTCCCTATAATATTTGTGATGAGGGTCGTAGAGCTCTGTGTGCTCCTGGACCCTGCTAATAAGCGCATGTTCACACCTCTGCGATGCAATATCACGATGGTGCTTCAGGATGCATTGTGGTGTGCTGCAGTAGGGAAGTATTTAAGTGGGCTGCCCCCTGCAGCTAAACTTAATTAGTACTTTATCATGCATGTAGTACGATTCAACAAACATGCGATGTCTAGGTGTATTGGGGTGCCATTAAGAATTTGTGGCACTGCACCACACCTAGCATTGCAACATGCAATGCAGGATTGCATGCAGAAGTGCATGTGATCCCACATTGCAAAGATGCGAATGGAGCCTAAAGGTGCCCATACACCTTACAACCATTGCACAACCTTTGTTGTGCAATGGTTGTAAGATGATTAAAATTTCGTACAATCTGCCCATCTTGGATCACTGCAAGCCCTTACCGCTGAGGGGAGGGATTCCGATGATTGCAGTGCTGAGCGGGCAGTGTGCGCTTGCTCAAACCGGCCCGTGCAGCATTTGTCTTCCAAGCACGCCACCAACAAGCCGAAAATCGTACGAAAGTCGTGCGCCTTACAGTAGAATCGGTCGCACGCTGCCCATACACCTGACGATTATCGTACGAACACGGGATTACCCGAGATTATCGTACGATAATCGGCAGGTGTATGGGCTCCTTAACTACCTCCCGGCCAGCCTCCTGTTACATCCGCCCGCTTGGGCGCGCCGCGCGGGAAATTGAAAAGAGGCAGCGATGCCCGTTAATATACAAGCGATCCGCCGGCTATAGAGCCGGCGGATCGCTTGTATGAAGCCCTGAGACGTGCGCCCCCCCTCTGCTTCATCATCTCTGCTTCATCAGCTTCTTCAGAGACATGCTGATCCCGGGCTCGCACCGGGCACAGCGGAGCTCGGGATCAGCGGGACAACAGCGGGGGGGACCGCGGAGGGGGGGGGGACACCCGATCGGCAC